AGGGTATGGAAATAAAGATCTGGTGGTCTATCTAACTAAGAAGAGGTAAGAGGGTGCTCTTCAGATATTTTAAACATCAATTCCAGTTAGTTGAAGACAGCATTGTAAGTGGCCCAAGAATATCGGGAATTGTACTGCAAAGTACCTGGAAGGTACCATTTTACCTCCCCATATATTTCTGGAGTCCTGGGAATATAACATGAAATGCATCATGCACTTTTCTACTCAATCAGTGGCCCCCAACTTTTTACTGTGGGCCCCTTGTTCCCTGCATTCCTTAATAATTATATTTTGTCCTTGATAGTTATTTGCATTTAGCTATTTATGATGATGATGTTGTTTTCCTTTTGTTTGATCTATGCAGCCGAGAGGCTCTTGGCATTAGGGCAAGTTATGAGAACTGTTACGTAAACGAAGAATAAATTTAAGTCAGTTTAACAAGAAAAAAGAATGGTTCATTCCATAAAAAGGAAAACAACAAGACTCTTGTGGCACTTCACAATAACCAATTATGATGATCTAAGTTTCCGTGGAATATAATCCATATATAGGCCTCTGGTTAGGAATTGTAACAATGAGGTTATAGGGAAATGGAATTGCAAGAAATTCAGTGATGAGCATCTTACTAGACATACTGTGTTTTCCCGAAAATAAGACCCTGTCTTATATTTTTTTGAACCCTGAAATAAGTGCTTGGCCTTATTTCGGGGGCGGTATTAGTATTTTGGGCCGCGTGGAACAAGATGGGGCTTCTCTTGCTGTCTTACCTGATTTCCAGCTCTGTGTTTAAATATTTTCAGGGAGGACTTATTTTCAGGGGGGGCTTATTTTAGCACATGCGCTCAAAAGCCCGATTGGGCTTATTATCAGGGAATGTCTTATTTTGGGGAAAACAGGGTAACAGTTTATTGATAAAGTGAGCACTTAAAGTGAGTGCAGTTGAGTTCTTGATTTTCTCACTGATAGGCCCCAGTATGTATGAGTTAGGACTAATATTTCTAGCACCATGTTTCTGAGTGCAAGTTGTCATCAGGGCTGTGTCCTGAGTCTGCTATTGTTCACCCTGCTGTGCAAGGTTTGCTACCAGCTATATTGTGAAGTATGCGGATGATACAACAGTGGTGGGCCTTATTCAGGATGATAATGAAGGCGATTACTGAGAGAAGGTAGGAGGGTTTGATGAACTGAGGGTAATAAAAATAGCCTGGTTTTAAATGTAGGAAAAACAAAAGACATCATACTCATAATCATAAAACAGCCTTGGTAGTACAGTGGTCTAAGGCACCCTGTTATTAAGCTGGTTATTAAGACCAGCTGCCTGCAATTACTGCAGGTTCGAATCTCGCCAAGGCTCAAGGTTGACTCAGCCTTCCATCCTTTCTAAGGTAGGTAAAATGAGGACCCGGTTTGTGGGGGCAATAAGCTGACTTCGTATAAATATACAAAAGAATGAAGGCTATTGCTTAGCGCATTGTAAGCCGCCCTGAGTCTCCGGAGAAGGGCGGCATATAAATCAAATTTTTTAAAAAAATTTCAACTGTGGAGGCAGTTAGTGGTATCCAATTTCTGGATTCCGTGCAGTTGTTGAGTAGACTAGCTCAACAGTGAGACACTGGTGAAGTGGGCACCACAGTGCCTGCATTTTCTGCATCCTACGAGAAGAACATATCTTCCTTCCCATGTCCTTACCACTTTCTATAGAGGGATGATTAAAAGCATCCTGTCATATTGTAATACTGTGTGGTTTGAACATACATGTATTACAGTTTCAGACAGGAAGATTCTACGTTCCTTGGTCTTCTGGAAACAAGTTTAAGACGCGAGATCTTCTGAGGGACTTTTAGTTAGTTGAGAACATGCAATAAAAATGTTTATATTGCTCCAATGGGGTTGGTAGTTTGGATTTTTATATTTGCTAGCTGATAACCCGGCATTGCCCGGGTATTTATTTATTCCAATTCTGTATTAGACAGGAAGAGCAACTTCACCCTGAGCCCTGATTTTGACGAGAATTAAATTAGTTAAAAATGTTTTCCCTGTGCCCCCAGAAGCGTCAAGTAAAATGATGCCACCTTGTTGTTTTGCTAGCTGATCCATGATCATTTGCTTTTTTCTGATCTTGATTTAGAAGTGGCTTCTTGCCCACAATATATGCACTAAGCTGTTTGATATTTGTTGTCAAGAATAATCAAAGTCTTGTTGAAAATGTCCAGACCAAACGTAATTTCTAATATTGGATTTTCCCCCTTACCAGAGGGAGCCCCCTTGTGGAGTACTGTGAAGCCATTACCATGGCAACTCTACTGTGCTGCACAGTAGAAGTCATTTTAAGGCAGTACAGTAGAAGACATTTTAAGGCACAACAGGCTGTATCTTAACAGAACACACACCCTGAGGGGTATTAGGATGCCTTACCCCCACAGTATTTCTTTCCAGAGAGTAAGTCATCTATGTACTAAGTTTGGTTGAAATTGCTCAAGGCGTTCCAGAGTTATGCTGGAACATACACACACACAGCCATTTTTATATAGAGAAATTATGTCTGTCTACCATAGATATTTGAACATTTGACATTGTTGTATATCATTAGGCTCCTGTAGGCTCCTGAGAGTCAGGTGGCAGCAGTGATAGACATCTTTTCAATAATCATGATGTCAGCCAAGCCAAGCCAAATTCTGATCAACAAATTGTGCATTCATGATTGGAATCCACTCAAAGATGCATAGATATATACACATCTAGGCAACTAAAGTAGTTTAAATAGACTTTTTTTTTTTTAGGTCTGCAGATCTTTTTTCTTTAATGACATAAATTTTTTGGGGGGATGCTGTCTTGTCAGAGACATGCTTTGCAAAGTAGCTTCAAATATTTGGTGGAGAGGGGCCTGTCAATAACAGTTACAGGGGACATAATAAGGACTGTATTTTGAATTATTTGGTAAGAGAAAAATGTAAACATATTCCTATTTGTCTTCTTCCAGCATATTTAGATGAAAGAGTCTCCCAAATTGTTTTTGGATTACTTTTGTACTTACTTGATGTGGGCTGGGCGGGAAATATACTTTTATAAACCATTGCTATTACATTTTTTCCATTTGTTTTGCCACACCATCAATCTTCTTAAAGCTGGACTGAAGGATGCCTATAAAGAGAGACAAATAACTGGATAACTGCAAATATACATTTAATTTCATTAATTGCTTTTAAAACATCGAACTAAATTAAATTTTAGGTCCTTTTGCAAGCCTTTTAATCCTACTGCGTTGATACAAGCCCCCAGTTTACAGAGATTATGGAAGAAAAGAGAGGCCCACGGCTTCCCCGTTGATTTTGCTAGTTGAGAAGATCTTCTCTTATGCCTTCCACTCAAAGGGATCCTTTGCAGTTTGTTTTGTGGAGGCAAATATGTGACTTGGCATTCATGACAGGCTTCCTTGACCTGGATCCTTCACTGTAAGCATCATCAGTTGAGCTTTTCTTGAGGAAGGACTTCTATGAGTTCAAAAAAGGGGCATTGCGTGTGGAGCCCTGCCTGGACAAGCGACCTTCTCTTTTCGTCTCACTGATTTGTTGGATGGGGAAATAGTCCTTTGGGCCAGGCAGGGAGTTACTACAGGGATAAGCTTCTGTCCCTGCTCTCCCAACACACGCAACATTGTCAAATTGCACCCACTAGCTCAGCGGTCACCAACTGGTGGTCCGTGGACCACTGGTGGTCCATGAAAAAATGTTGGTGGCCTGCAGAAAAATTATTTGCATTTTTTATATTGCACTAAATCAGGGGTCCTCACACTAGGACCCCTGGGCTGGATACGTGCAATAAAAATTGTGTTTCTGCAGAGAGTCTCCCCCTTCGGAATCTTCATGTATGGGTCGAGGGGGACAGAAATCCCGACTTGGGGTCTGCCTCAGGCTTCTGGTGCGGGGCTTTGGGTGAAGGCTGGAGGGAAGTGCCGCTGGTGGCAAAGAGCCGGAGAGCCTTGTTCCAGTGGGACTGTATCATGGCCTGGAACTGGCTGACCATCTCAGCCCGCTGAGCCTCCAGGCGCCGGTACCTGGCCTTGCACTCCCGCAGGTCTTCCCTCTGCTTGGAAAGCCTTTGCTCGTAGTCCTCAGTGAGGTGCTTCTACTGAGCCTCCTTCTCAGTCAGATCCAATTTGAACTGAACTGTTTTGCCAACTCTTTCTCATGGTGGCTGCTTAGTTCCAAAAACTGCTTCCTTTTGGGGCCCTAACGAAACCGGTGGGAAGGGGAGGAGTGGCTGGGAGGGGAAAGGCGAGTAGAGGTTGGCGAGGCGCTCCTCAATGTGAGTGACATCAAGTTGGCCACGCCTACCCAGTCACATGACCACCTAGCTACGCCAACCCAGCCAGTCATTAGACAGATCCTATTAGAGGTCCACAGGATTTAAAATTATGAATTTAGTGGTCCCTGAGGTCAAAAAGGTTGGGGATCCCTGCACTAGCTCAAGCTGTCCGAGAACTCAGTCCCTGTGAATCAAAGTGTGTGAATGTCTGGCTGGAAAATGCATAGATTGGATTATTGCAAATATATCTTAAAGTACTTTAGAAAATGAGTTTCCTCTTTTGTGCATGCTGTTATATAGGCAGTCCTCGACTTACGACCACAATTGAACCCAACATTCCTGTTGCTAAGCTAAGCAACAAGAAAGTTATTAAGTGAGCTGAGCCCTCATTTTGTGACTTTTCTTGCCACAGTGAATCATTGCAGTTGTTAGAGTCAGATGGTCGCTAATGACCCCGGGACACTGGAACTGTCATAAATATCTGCCAGTTGCCAAAGCATCTGAATTTTGATCACGTGATTCTGGGGATGCTGCAATGGCCATAAGTGTGAAAAACGGTCATTTTGAACGGTCACCAAATGAAAGGTTGTAAGTCGAGGACTATCTGTAGTTTTTTAAAAAATCCTCTTAAAATCATGGTTCTCGCTGTGTGTTCCCTTCGCTCCCAATCCCTGATTTGTTTTTCTGCCTTCCAGGTGGCGGCCAAGGCGGGCGTCTATGAGATCCTGAACCAGCTGGCCTTTTCTGAATTTGAAACTCTGGACAGCCAAGCGCTCTGCCAGCTTCGCTATCGCTGGCAGGAGCAAAGCCGTAGTATCCTGCCCTTCCGAGGAGAGTTCATTTAGGACCCAACGTTATTCAGGACCTGGAGGACTGCAGCACTTCTCCAGATGTTCTTCTACATCACCACCTTTCTCTGTTTTTTCTGAAGCTTATGAAATACCTGCCTTTAAGAAGGATTGTGTGCCCAAGAAAAAGAAGTTAAATGGCCTTGAAGACATTTTTAGGGTTTCCCCCTCCACCCCAGGTAGAATAAAATAAATTTAAATAAAGCAGATACTCTATACCTTCTCTTGGTCCCCAGGGTGCCACAAAAGACTTTTTCCGAGGACTTGATGCCCAAGGTAACTTGTATATTATGTATATGCAGAAGTAGGAAACGTTTAATGGGCACTTCCGTGTGGCTTAAGTATTTCTTGCGTTTGACTCGCATTGTTTTGTTATGATGATGCCGATGGACATTTATGATACTTTAATTGGTAATCACCATTGTTGGGACAGTTGTACTGGGCCAAGGATGGGAGAAGGTTGCCTATGCTGCCCAATGTGGACCTTTCACTGCATGCCTAAGAGGATACTGAAATTTCTAGGATGTCTGGAATTACACACACACACACACACACACACACACAAACACACACACACACATACACACAAACATGGTGCTTATCTGAACACAGCAAATGGTTACCATATTTTTTGGACTATAAGACACACCGGACTATAAGACGCACCTAAATTTGCAGGAGGAAAAGAAGAAAAAAATAGTTTTTGGCCTTCGCATGTCGGATTTTCGCCCTCCCAGGCCCCGAGAAGCATTCTGCAGTGCTCCGCACGGCCCATTTTTGCCAGAAATGCACCTGTTTTCACTAAAACCACTTGGTTTAATATACAAAAGTATAGGTTGAACCAATTTTGAACTATGCCAGCTGCAGAATAGTACCAGCGCCTGTATTTCTGGAGTCCCCAGCTCCAAATTTTCATCTTTTTTTTCAAATGCAGCCTACCAGCAACAATGAAATGTACTTTTTCGTCTGCAACCAGGTCTGTCCAGTCAAGAATGTTGTGTATTCAGTCACCCGTAGCCAGTTTCACATTAGTTCACATGACTAATCTGCATGTACCAAAGACTAAGTGCGTCTGACTCAGTTTGATTCAGATGTGGAATCCTTTTCTTCTGCCAAGACCGATACATAGTACATGAGATTTCAAACAGAAATTGTAGGGATTGAATCTGAAGTCATGCAATCTGCCACTGAGAGGCATGTCCCTGAAGTGTCACTTGTAACTCTACTCGTGGGCACCGACGAGTGTTCAAACAAAACCATGGAAGTCCTAGAATGGAAATAGGAATTCAGAACATGCTTATATGTGTGTATGTTTTCTGCTCACAGGCTCTTAAGAAGTTGTCTTGCATAGTTCAAACAATTCCTAAGAGTAAGAGAAGAGTAAGGCTGTTTAGAGTAGACCAGTGTATTTTCAACCTTGGCAATTTGAAAATGTGTTGGACTTCAACGCCCAGAATTCCCCAGCCAGCAAGTCTGGCTGGGGAATTCTGGGAGTTGAAGTCCACACAACTTTAAAGTTGCAGAATTGAAGGAAAACACTGATCTAGACCAGGGGTCTCCAACCTTGGCAACTTTAAGACATGTGGACTTCAACTCTAGCAATGCTGGCTGATGAACTCTGGGAGTTGAAGTCCACACGTCTTAAAGTTGCCAAGGTTGGAAATCCCTGGTCTAGACAATGTTGCCCAACTTGGACAACTGCATTTTGGAAGTTTAAATCCAAACATGCAGAAGTTGCCCAGGTAAGTAAATACTGATCTAGATCTTATTTTATGGACTGTCTCAAGAACTTAGGGCTTGTTTTCCTTCCTACAAGTTCTTTTGTTAAAAAAAAACAAAACATGAGCTATTTCAGCCCTAAAAAGTAGTCAGTTGTTCTGGCAACTCTTGTGAGAAGACTCTGTGATCATGCACAGACATTCTTTGTCATTTTGAGATCTAGCAGGTGTTCTAAGATCTCACAATCGACCAGTCTTCTCTGAGAAACTGCAAATATTCCCAGGATTGAAGGAATCCTGGTAGCAGCCAGTATTTAAACCACAGCAGTAGCAATAAGAGAAACCAGTAGGAAATCTTATTGGTAGTATTATTAACACAGAAATTATTGTATGATGTTGATTCCAGGTTGAAGTATTTATTTTCCCTTCCTTGAGCATAGCAATGCTGGCAATCCTCAACTTACATCTATTCATTTAGTGGCCTTTGGAAGTTACAATGGCACTGAAAAAAAGTGACCTAAGGCCATTTTTCACACTTATGACCATTGCAGCATCCCATTGGTCATATGATTCGACTGCTTGGCAACTGGCTTATATTTATGATGGTTGCAGTGTCCTGGAGTCATGAGGTCCCCTTTTTATGACCACCTGATAAGCAAAATCAATGGGGAGATTCACTTATCAACAACATGGCTCACTTAACCACTGCGGCAGGAAAAGTCGTACAATGGAGCAAACTCACTTAACAACTGCCTTCCTTAGCAATTTTGGACTCGATTGTGGTCGTAGGTTGAGGATTACCTGTACAGCCCTCCATTTATGATAGCATTTTTAAAATCAGTGTATTCAACAGCAGGGCACATGCGGTATGAAGAAACCGCAGTTGCTGTTTCTAGGAAAAACATCCTAAATCAAGAGCCACCATCAAAACCAAAAGAGCCATCTCAAAAACGTCTCGCGAATTGTCAGAAGAAATATTTTAACGTGGAAATTCAATTTAGGTCTTCTATTATACTGCAATAAAAGGTTCCTTTTAAGTGGCACAGCCACAAGACGTTCGATGACCCCAGCATTTCTTCTGTTCTCGATGAAGCTAGTAACATGGGCTGTAGAAAATGGTGGTGTGAAAAAAAAATGTTTTCAGGCAAAGTATTTTGAATTCAAGGTACTCCATCCTGTAGGTCAAGGGTGTCAAACTCATTTTCGTTGAGGGCAGCATCAGGGCTGTGCTTGATCTCAGGAGGCCGGGTGGGCGTGGTCAACTGGGTGGGCGTGGCCAACTTGACACCTCTCACCAAACTGCTGGCATGTTCCCTCTTTGCATTGGGTAAACCGGGCTGATGCCACACTGGCCTGATCTTTCCTCTTCGCATTGGGTAGACCAGGACCTGACCACATTGGGTATTTGCGGGACCGCCTTCTGCCGCCAATAGCCTCCCACCAGCCAGTACGCTCCCACAGAGAGGGACTCCTCAGGGTGCCGTCAATTAGGCAGTGTCAGATGGCGACCCCCATGGGGAGGGCCTTCTCTGTGGCAGCACCTGCCCTCTGGAATGATTTGCCCCCGGAGATACGGAGAATATCAGATCTCCGGGCTTTTCGCCGCGCCCTAAAAACTTTTTTCTTCCATCAAGCAGGGCTGGCGTGAAAACCCCCCCCCTGTTTTTGAGATATTAGATTTTTTAATTGTTTAATGGATTTTAGTCGTAAGGTTCTTAAATTTCGGCCAAAGGGTATAATTCTTTTAAATTTTTAAATTTTGTATTGGATGTTTTTTACTTGGCTGTGCACCGCCCTGAGTCCACCAGGAGAAGGGTGGTATACAAATTTAAATAAAATAAATAAATAAAATAAATTGGGCCGAATCTGACCACCTTGCAAGCTGGATGTGGCCCATCGGCCTTGAGTTTGACACCCCCCCTTCTGTAGATGAGCCAATTGGTTTGAGAGTGGGAAGGGCTGCTACAAATATTTTGGCCTTAGGGCAATTCTCTTGCCCGGAATCCTGCTTCAGGCTAGAGTCATTTCCCTTAAACCAGAACTGACTACTTTGCACTTGAGAAAGGATATTTTGGATTTAAAGCCCTTTGCACATCTATCATATTGCATTGTTTCTCTCCTGTTTCTGTTCTGTTTTTTTTCATTGCTGGGTTTCCACTTGTTTTCTTTCTTCAGTGTTCACTAATGCAGAGTTGGGGAACCTCTGAGCCTCTGTAAATTGCTGAATTACCAGCCCAAACCTACCCTTAGTGACGATAGGGAATTGTCATTCAGCAACATATGGAAGGGTACAGTTTCCTCTCCTTGACTCAACACGGTTTTGCAAGGCTTTGCCAGAGTTACGTTTTCAGCAAAACAAGCAAGGAAGGCACCGGGGGTGAAATCCAGCAGGTTCTGGAGAACCGGTAGTGGAAATTTTGAGTAGTTCGGAGAACCAGCAAATACCACCTCTGGCTGGTCCCAGAATGGGGTGGGGATGGAGATTTTGCAATATCCTTCTCCCAGGGGTGGGTGGGGAGGGAATGGGGATTTTGCAGTATCCTTCCCCTGCCACGCCCACCAAGCCACGCCCACAGAACCGGTAGTAAAAAAAAAATTGGATTTCACCACTGGAAGACATGCCGTGCTTTAAAAATTTGCGTGTTTGGCATGCACCAAAATGGTAACTGAATCGTCTCTTATGAGTGCCATTTTGCCTTTCACAGTCATCCTGTGCGAACATGCCAGAAATACGTTGTTTTAAGAAAACGAACTTAATTGAATAAGAGGCTGTGAAACCAACCCACAAACCTGCAAGAAGATAATTTAGCTTGAATTCAAACAAGGCCGTGTATACTGTACATTTAAGTATAATGGGACAGGAGGGGGACAGTATTAATAAAATATTCAAGCATTCCGATCTCCTTATAACATTTTATTTTGTGGGGGGAAGAGGTGAGGTGTATGGGTAAGCCCAAGGACTAAAGAGCGATTTATAAACTTGCCAAACAATCGTTCTTTTGTGAAATGTAAGTGGATACGCCCATCAGTCAGCGGGGATCTTTAGAAATCTCATTTACTATCTGAAGGATGCCTCAGTATGGTAATTAATTCAACTTTAATTGCATCAAATTCCGCTCCTTTGATCACATCAGTGCAAGAACTAGAAGTTCAAATGACATTACCTGCCTTCCCTCACACACACCCCTCTTTTTTTTGTCTTTCATTCAGCAGACTGCTGAACCAAAGGACAGTTTAGCCAACATTTCTCAAAACTTTCAAATGCTCCTATAGTGTAATTTGGCCTTACAATGTAACACCTGATCCAATCTTAGATTGAAACGAACTATTACTGTAGTTTACTGAAAACTAAATTCAGATTTTGTTCACCACATTGTAAAAAAAAGATGTTGAGACTGGAAAGAGTGCAGAGTAAACAAAGATTAAGAACTGTAGGCTAAAACAGATCCCCAGCCCCCGGTCCATGGATTGGCACCAGACCATGTCATGCCAGAAACTGGGTGGAGCAAACAAAGCCCCATTTTGCAGAGTATAGGCAGCATGTGAAGCCACGCCCACTCCGGTCCGCGGAAAATCTTATCTCCACAGAACCCATCCCTGATGCCCAAAAGGGTGAAGGCCGCTGGGCTAAAACATATGAAGAATGTTACAGGAATTGGGTATGTCTAGTCTAGTGAAAAAGGGATGCGGTGGCTCAGTGGCTAAGATGCTGAGCTTGTCGGTCAGAAGGTTGGCAGTTCAGCGGTTCAAATCCCTAGTGCCGTGTAACGGGGTGAGCTCCCGTTACTTGTTCCAGCTTCTGCCAACCTAGCAGTTCGAAAGCACATTAAAAAATGCAAGTAGGAAAATAGGGATGACCTTTGGTGGGAAGGTAACAGTGTTCCGTGCGCCTTTGGCGTTTAGTCGTGCCGGCCACATGACCATGGCGACATCTTCGGACAGTGCTGGCTCTTCAGCTTAGAAACAGATGAGTACCGCCCCTAGAGCCAGAAAGGCCTAGCACGCATGTGCGGGGGAACCTTTACCTTTTAGTCTAGTGAAAATGAGTAGGGGTGACATAATAGCAGTGTTCCAATATTTGAGGGGATGCCATAAAGAAAAGGGGTCAACCTGTTTTCCAAAGCACGAGAAGGCAAAAAGAGAAACAATGGATGGAAGCTAATCAAGAAGAAACAACTTGGAACTAAGGATAAATTTTCTAACAGAAAAATTAATCAGCTTGCCTTCAGAAATTGTGGGTGCTCCATCACTGGAGGCTTTCAAGAAGAGACTGGACTGAAATGTTATGGGGTCTCCTGCTTGAACAGAGGGTTGGATTAGAAAATCTCCAAGGTCCCTTCCAACTCTGTTATTCTGTTATTTGATTTATGTGTTTTTTTTTAAAAGTACAACTACTTAGAAATGATCAAACCTATAGTACTTTCCTTGAATATTCAGCAAGTCTCACCTGTACTGGAACATAATAGATGAAAAGAAAATAAAAATCTGAAAAGGCCAGTTTAATTTTCCACATGATTGTAGGTTTTTATTATTATCATTTTTTTATTATTCATATTTCTATGCCGTCCACTCTCCAAGGACTCTGGGCGGCTTATACCAAAGACAGTATACTAAATAGAATATTGCTCCCAACAATCTGGATCCTCATTTTACCCACCTCGGAAGGATGGAAGGCTGAGTCAACCTTGAGCCAGTGAGATTTGATCCGCTGATCTGCTGAACTAGCAGTCAGCTGAAGTAGCTGCAGTACTGCACTGCGCCACCTCGGCTCTTGGAGATGATTAGTTGGAGATGATTAGGCTTAGCCAGGCATCGTGTCCTATATCCGTGATGGCAAACCTATGGAACACATGCCCGAAGTGGCACATGGCGCCATGTTGCATGGCACGCGAGGCATCGCCTGTTCCTCTTCTGGGTTTCTGTCACGCATACGCACACGATTATCAGTTGGCCTTTGTGCTTGCGTCAGTGCCAGAAACCTGAAGAGCTGGTTTTCCATTTTCCAGCGTGAGCATATGCGCTGGCCAGCTGATCAGCACGTGCGCATGCATGGCAGTAGCCTGAAGACTTGCTGGCTGGCACGCATGCACGCATTGGAAGCCAGAAGTACATTTTCCCGAGCGTGCTCGCCAGCTGATTGCCGTGTGCGCATGTGTGGCAGTAACCTGAAGACTTGGCGGCAGTAACCTGAAGAAACTGCAAGCATATTCTCCAGCGTGTGCACACCCCTGAGCAACTCTTATTCCTGGTCTTGACCCAGACAAGCATGCATGCACGTGAAGTGTTCCCTTTTTGGCACCCGGTGCCGAAAAGGTTCATCATCACTGTTTTATATGGTCTAAACCAGGGGTCTCCAACCTTGGCAACTTTAAGACCTATGGACTTCAACTGTGGAAGTCCACAAGTCTTAAAGTTGCCAAAGTTGGAGACCCCTGGTCTAAAGCATTCTCTTTCAATACCAAGTATACTTTGATTCACATTGTGGTAAAGACTTTATATGTGTCTCTCAATTCCTGATGTTTACTTCGCATATTTCAGAGCCTAACTAGCTTTCTCCAGGTTTGCTTTAACTACTGTGTCCAAAGCAGGGGTGAAATGCTCCTGGTTCAGACCGGATCACCCGATCCAGTAGCGGTGGCAGCAGGTGGTTCGGAGAACTGGTAGCAAAAATCCCTGGGGCCCCCCCATGCCCAGCTGAGCCGCGCAATCATCAGAGGAAAATCATTTTTTCTAAAACCTCTTTGGCCGAAGAGGTTGTAGAAAAAATGTTTTTAAAAGTTAAAAAAAAAAAAAGTTGGCCACCCCCACCCAGTCACATTACCCCCCACCAAGCCACGCCCACAGAACCGGGAGTAACAAATTTTACATTTCACCACTGGTCCAAAGCATATCCTTGGAGAGCTTAGCAAGAATAAAATAGTTTGCATTGTCCGTACAACTTCAAACTTGCATTTCAGAGTTATAACTGCTCATCTGTCTTAATCTCTTAATACGTGCTTTGACATTAGGACCTTTGCCAAGGAATAATTTTTTAAAAAAGCAAATAGAAATCAGTTT